ACGCCACACAGCAAAAGCTTCATTAGTGGTAGTGGCGTTAGCAATAATAACAATAACAATTGCAGCAATAGCTGTAGCAGCAGCAGCAGTGAAAATTTGCTCGACATTTACAATGGTAATGTAAATCGTGCAGGTGGTGTTGGTGTTGGTGGTGACATGCCGCCAGATTTGTTGTATAAAAATGCACCAACAATTTCAGCAAATGGTGCGCTAGTGCCACCGCCATATCGCGATCCGCCGCCACCACGCAATAGTCCATTGCAGTTACAGCAGCAACAGCCACACCAATTTCATGCCCAGCAAATGTCAGCTGGTGGCATGGGTACGGTGGCAGTGAATAATTACATGCAAGATTACAACAACTCTAACGATTACGATGTGGAGTTTCAGCACTTGGGTGGCACTGGTAGCACCGGTGTTGGCGCTTGCAGCGGCGGCGGCGGTGGTGGTACTGGCAGTGTCGGCAGCATGGAGGAAAGCGAAAGCATATTCCAGGCAACGCAATACAATGATTTAATGCAATTGATTAAATTTCAACGCGAAAAAATTTCAGCACAACAGCTGGAATTGACCAAAGTATGTACTATATTTATTTTTAAATCTTGTTTTTTTTCGCACTTTATAAGTATTTATTTTATATATTTTTCACCTCTTTTGCAGTACGATGCTGAGATAGTTTATTTGGAAAATAAAGAACGCGATCAGGCGCAAGAGCTCGAAGCGATTTCACGTGAAATCACCAAAGCCGATCAAATTTTTCGACAGGGTAGTGAACAGGTGAGTATATAATATAACACATGCATTTTATGTAGCCTGATATAATGTTGCTTTTAAAATTTCACAAATACAGCTGCAAACACTACAGTATGTAGAGGAAGAGAATGAGCTCGTTAAGCAACAAGAGAAAACTTTAAAATCTGAAATTGCTTTGCTGCGCTCTAAATTGGCTAATTGTGAAACTGAATTACTGCAATGCAAGAATAAAATTCGATTGTTAATGAACGATATTGAGGTAGAACAGCGCAGTAATGTCACAAGGCAAAAAACGAATCGGTAAGTTTGCAAAATAAACATTTTAATGATGTAATGAAAAGTTAATTATTAGGTATTTGATTTGATTTTTGAATTACAAGATAACAAAAATTGTTTTTATTTGCTTCCAGTCAAAATGTTGAGCGTGACTTTCTCATGGAAATGGAGCGCATACAAAGCGAAATCGATCAGGCAATACACAACACTGATACGTCTAATAAAACAGCAGAGAATTTGAAAAAAGAAATTTTACTTATTGAAAATGCAATAACCGAGAAGAAGCGACAGGTGCGCTATAAAAATAGCGCAGGCAAAATGTCTAAACTAAACTGTTTATTATATTTTAGGTAGAGCAATTGGTGAACGAAATGAAAGAGGTTAATTTGCAAAGCCTCACCGTCAACACCTCCGAGGAAATTAAGCACTTTTTAGAGGGTATGCAGTCTCTTGTTGGTTTTGCTATTGAAAAGTAATTTCTTGAATGTATACTTTTTCTTCCTTCCACAAGGTTCCAACAAACCCGGGAGTAGTCGGCGCATAATCGGTTCACCCAGACAGCTGGAGAATGCAGTACCCACCAGCAAAAATCCACATGGTGTTTGGGTTTAATTTAAAAATGCGAAATAGAAAGAGAGGAGAGAGAGGGCTTTTTCGAGGGCTCTTTTGAGAAGTTAAGTGATGCATGAAGTCGGCTGCTGTTCTTAAGTAGTATTTGTGTTGGGCAAATACACGCTGCGATTGACAATGAATGTGCTAAATGAGTGATGAATATGCGTGTGGAAAATACTAAACGTAAAACTCTTCGAGGAAGTATTAAACACTCGCCTACATGAATATGTATAGATATATTCATATACCAGCTACTTATATAATGTTTTTTAAAATCTACTACACAAGCTTGCGCTAACTACAGTCAAACGAGTTACAAACTAACGAACTTTAGGTACTAGAAACAAATGTTGCATATCTGTCAAACAAGGAAAACAAACGAACCATACATACAAGCATATTTTCAAATACATACCTAACTATTTTAAAGCAATCATATGAATTATATATCATACAATATTTTAATAATGTACTTAACAAAAAAAAGTTGTATGATGGCAAACATTTTGTAATATATACATACATATGTATGCAGATGATACATTTTGATGCTTAGTAAAATTTCTTAATCAAAGATCTCTATTGAAACTTTAAATGTTACAAAACCGTTAAAGGTACACACATACATAACTTTTTATTAGAAATTGAATACCCATTTATAAATTTTAATGTTAAATAATAAGCTAATGAAAATCATGAAAGACATTTTCTATGCGTAAATTTAATTTAAAGTGACTACAGCTCTGCTCTAAAAATTATGAAAAAATTGTCAATAGTCACAAGTGTTTTAGTTTCAACTAATTATAAACATATGTATATGTATATGTTTAAAAATTATAAAGAAAAAGACGACAACACAACCGCATACATTCCATAGTTGCGTAAAGTTTTGCAACAATCGCTGTTACTTTGTTTTGATTTTTTTCTTGCTTAGACTGTTCATAAATTTTAATATTTTTTATAGCTCATATTAAAAACATTTTGGAGTGGAAATTTACCACCACACACTTAAAATTTATCATTCCCATTGTTGCTATATGCATAAAAAAAAATTGTTGATTTAATTTAAGCGTATAAGTTTGTTTAGTTTAAAAATTTTCGTATTGTGTTACTTAGGTAAAGTAAGCTTTCGAAAGCTAGTTTCCTGGAGCATTATGATTAAATTAAAGCTGTCAATTGTTTTTAGTAGCTAAGCAACTTTTATCTTTTTTATAGCAAAATACTTTTTTACGAAACAATTGTGTGAAATATGTACATATGTAACTACATATGATGAAATTAAAGTTTTTACACCGCGTGCTGTTAGACAAGTACTTAGCATTATTTTGCAATAAGTTTATTGTGCTCTTTTATATAAATTAGGTAGATGAACTTTTCGTTGAAAAAGTAGTTAGTTTTTTTTAAATAAAATTTTAAATATTTGTAGCCACAAGGAATTTCGTATGTACTTCTTATACCTTATAAATTTTATTACTAACTAGCTTATACCCGCGGGTTCCATCCCAATTTTTATATGCAAATTAAATTAAAAATGTTATAATATTTAGAAATTTTGTATTTCTACTCTCATTTGACCATAGTGGTAAATGCATTTATAAGGGAGTTACGGCGCTTAGGGCATTTAAAATGATGGAATTATAAAATCTCGTCTGCAAGGTAGACTTTGCGAAGCTAATATGATAGATACCAATCTCTGTAATTTTATCTTAAAATGTTTGCAGCGATACGCCGCGTGCAACTGTGTCAGAGGAACATATGCGACGTGTGTATTTTAATTATTTTTTTAATTGGGAGATACCGGGTCCCGTTGTCAATTAACCCCCTAAAAATGCAATAGGGGATCCATAAAAATCGTTACGATTAAAAAATGTTAAGATAAACAATTGGATATTATTACACAGCTCAATAAAATTTGGTCAAAAACGGGACCGACCTCGTTTTTCGACAGTTCAACAGTTATTTTCTCAAAAACTGGACGTGCTAGAAAAATTTTATAAATTCACATCAAATCAGCATAAAAAAATATGTAAAATAAGGTCGGCCCCGTTTTTGAGATAAAATACGATCAAATTTTGTTGAACCGTGTTATTGGTCTCCACGTGAAGAGAACAGAATTTTCCAATCGAAAAATATTGATTTCCAAGAATTCTATACCATTTCAACGAAAGTGTTTTTCCCCATATAAAATACACGGAAAACTTCATGGGCTTTGAGGTAGCTGAGGATTTTTTTTTAACAAAAGAATCCCGGCCCTATTTTTTTCCATTTTGAAAAATCTTAGGGAGTGAGAGCTCAACATTTTAAGAAGAAGAAGTTTGCAAACAACCGCATTTATTCGCCTCGTTCGGAGAAATATTAGGGGTATTCTCGAAGTCTTAGACGTTGCACGATAAGCAAAAATACTAGGGCTATTCGCGATCCGCTGCAAATGGCCTAGCATCATTGCATTGTAAATTTTTATTGCAAATTATTTGCAATACACAAACAAAATACACGCATTTGCATTTGTCCGAATCGCGAATAGCCCTACTATTCCAAATTTGCACGAGTACGAGATCACCCCATTGCAAGCAGTGAAATTCGGTATCAAATACAATAACAAGAATTACCAAAAAAAAAAGAAGTGAGCGAAATGAGAGGAATAATAGAAATACATATGTAGCCATTCTAACAACAACACCGCTAGCACAGGGTTGCTCTTATCTTGCTATGCTTTTTGGCAAAATATGCGATAGGAAATGTTGTTTTGTGGTTGTATATTTGCAACCCATGCAATCCGTGCTACGTGCAACGGCTTTGCAAAATTTCGAGAATACCCCTATTGATTTGAAGTCGTTGAATATTGCTTTTTATTTATTTTATTAGGTTGTAACTGATTTGTGGGCGCCCCTAGATGTGGAGACTCCTGGGTCGCGGCCCACCCGCCTATTCTTTAATGCGGCTCTGGCCATATATCTGCCTATCTCAAGTCGATCAGCGACATGTTATAGGACTCATCCGATTTTCTGGTAGAGTCAAGCCTAACCGTTAGGGTTTGCCGAAGTAGCTTACACAGCTTGGCTGACTCTTTCATGTTATCGTATTACTACAGAAGTCTTTATAGGAGCTTAATTTTGACATACGAATTTGCCTCTTAATACCTTATACAGAAAACTTCTGGACCTTTTACGAAGTTCCGTCAGTTCAGTACTTCCTCAAACAATCAATCAACCTTTCAGGTTTTTGAACCCACTACACATACCGTTCGACACTTGACTGAGGAACTGATATTCCCAGCCGAAATTCGATGAACCAATGATCAGACAGATGTTACTCTTCCAAGACCATCGTTCCTTGAATGTGATCCGCCAGACGCAGAAGCATCGTGTATTCGAATGAACGGTCCCATAAGGTGTCTAGTGTGAGGATCGTCAGGTTATAGGTATATGCTAAGAGGTATTGGGTGTTATGCGGACCTTGCCCATAAGCTAGGCAGGTTGTTGTTGTTTTAACGACCCCGCCTATTTCGGTTTGTCTATCAATCGATGTCGCCAAACTCAACTAACGGTAGGCCCAAGAAATGAACAGTTTAAACAGGGTTGGACTAAAGCGAGAGGGGTGTTAGTTGAGTGGGGTGGAGCTGGCATGCGAATTGATGGTTCGTGTTGTGCGGGGAATTTCCACATGCCGGATACTCAGTAGGCATTTGGGGTCGAGTCTGGACAGGTAGCGGTTGAGATAGCTACAGTATCCAGACCGTAACTGGGCCAGAGTAATGCACGTATCTCTTCGCAGTTGAAGCTCCGTGTCTGTCACAGGTGGTCAATGGGCTCCGATCGCGGTACTCATGGGCCGGTAGTCGACGATGGCTATACGAGTTTAATTCCATGCTTTTTGCCAATTTTTCTGAACGACCTGCCTAACGCTAAAGTTTTAGGGCTGTTTTCTCAAGTACATAGCTTTTAAAACTTATCTGCCCTCCAAACACAAATTTTTTTGGAACGAAATATGAGTTTGAAAAACAGATGATTTTTGTCAAAAAAAGGTCGCCGTACACCCCTGTGTCTAAAGTATCTCAGTTCTTTTCATCCGAACGTACTACCCTAATGTAAATGCGAATTCTTTCTTAGTGATGGCATTGCCAATTCTGACATTTCAGCTTGAAGGATATCATTCTAATTTGCTTGCAGCTTTTTGGGCTAGTATAGTCGCCCCTACCAACTTTAGGGATGAAGACGACGTTTAAGTAGTCTCCACGATTAATCTTAATTTCTTGTATTTTTTCAATGCTTACAACATACCTTTGTTGATTAAGTATAAAACTGCCAACTCCAATTTTTATTTCATTTTGATACGAAATAAAGCCTGCTAACTCAATTTTTTCATTTATGTATAACTTGAAAATTTAGCGAAAAACTTATTTTTTTGTAAGCTCAATAAATAGAGTATACAAAAGGTAATAAAAGGGTATCTTGAAATTTTGAAGGTTGGGCCAGGTAGTAAGTAGCACTAGAGCAGCTGATTTGTTTCTTTCCAAATTATTTGGTCCCTAAACTGTAAAATAGTGATAATTTGTATTACAAATACATATGCTTACTTGGAAAAATGTATTTGCATGTGAATCTTCAAAAAAGTGATTGGAATGTTGGAACGTTTACTTAATTTAGGAGCTGATTATTAGGCCTTAGAGGGATTCCTTGATGCTTCTGGAATGGAAGAAATTTCCAAAGAAATAATCTTTTATTTAAGTTTTTAATTATATTTCACATTGCCCACTACGATATTTAAAAAAAGGCATAAAATTTTTTGACACTTTAGATGCCAGAAGCAACAACAAAATACACGTAAGTGTTGTTTTTGCTCGAATGCTACTACTACCTGTTTGATAAGAATTTGGTAGTGCGTAGTTATTATTTAATGATGTCTTTTCGCTCTACTGTCAAATTTTACTAAATGGAGTTAGCAGCTTTTAGCGCGGTGGCGACGATATATTACCTGCATTTCTCCAAGTATTGTTTGTAAATTATATTCACCTACATATGTACATGTAGAAAATTTATGCTTTATCTAGTCTGTAGTTGATTTTTCTTTTTATTTCGAATTAGTTTGAATTTAGGGCTTAACTATTTTTACAATCAATATTGTCATTTTCAAAATGTCGGAACTATTTTTTTATTTCAAATACACAGCTAAGTAGTAAGAAATCTTACTTTATAAAAAAAAATGTAAACTTCAAAATAAGTTAGCTTAGTAATTTGTTAATAAATAAATACATATTCACACTTGCTTATGTAACAGTTGCAATAGTTATCGAAACGCCTTCTAATATTTAAGTAGCTTTGTAGCAATTAGTTGCCTATTAAAGAATATATAGATACATAACTTTATAGTTTCAAAAAAAAAAAAAACATTTTAAAAATATATACAGACAGAGATAAACACACCTTTTTAAGTACATGCATATGTATATATGTAATCGTTTTTAGTACTATTTTGAATTTTGCATATCCCACGTGAAGGCCAGTTGTTAAGCCAAGCCGATGATAAATATAAAAAATAAATAATATGTAAATGTAAAGAAATGTTTTTTTAGTAAGTTGCAGACATTCTATTTTTTTAGATGTGCTCGCTTTAAGCGCTTATAAACAGTTTTAGGGGTTTCGAAAAAAATTTTGTATGCGGTGTGGCAGCGATTACCAGTAAACATATTTTACAGTGGCAAAAAAAAACATCAATAACGGTAAACAGCAAAAGTCGATTTTCTAGTTTTTTTCGACTTGCAAGTGCGACACTTGATTACCCTCACTTACTACTAAAACTATGGATGTTCGACAGTAAACCTTCTTTGACCTCTTTAGTTTAACACCAGTATTGCAATATTTAATTTACCTTATTAATTTAATTAAATGAACATTTTCAAATAGGTGGCAACCTTCAACAAAATTTTTTTTCGGTTGCAAGCCTTCTTAAACCTCTTTCTTATTTACAGCTATGTTGCAGCTCTGAATTTTTTTGTCCTATATTTTAATTTAGACCTCAAAGCAATACACCGGTGAAAACTGCATTCGATTCCATGCATTCGTTTTCGTGTCATGCGCATACAGACAGACAGACAGACAGCCAAAAATGCTGAAAATTGGTGATTTGGCTTCTGTTGCTCTAATAAATACCCATCATATTAATAACATAGATATTAAGGTGGACCTCCATCCATTTTTATGGCGTAAAGTAGCCTGTTTGACAGTGAATTATATAAACTTTGAATGTAATTATTTGGTACTAAAAAGTGAATGCAGTCGCTATTGCATCGAAAAGTGGCAAAATATCCACAGAATTGCGAGAACGGAAAATTTGCAACCTTCGAAACAGCAGATAACTTCCACACTTGCCACTGGTGGTTCATTTAGCAATTTATTTTCTGCTCGGTACATTTTCCCCCGATTTGACATTTTATAAAATTGAATAGTT